ATGTATTAAACATAATGTGTTCGTTATCAAAGTGGTTTTACTCCATATAATTGATTTAAATAAATGGATAAGTAAGCATTGATTGATATGATAACTTTTTATCTCATAAACATATGATCTAATATGTAGCGATCATCAATTATTTGTTATGAGCATAACTCTTTTGTACAAAAGAGACTATTAATTATTTTCGTTGATACTTACTCTAATACGATAAACTTTGGAGTTCATTACTATTGAATCAATATATTGCTATACGTTTTCTTTGAATCGTATCGTATTCTCAGCTATATATTTGTGCTCATAAAAAAAAAACTATAATTCTTATTTGAAGATAAAATATTGTAGAGCTGAAGGATTATTCGAATTGAAGGTAGATTTAATAATTAATTAAAGAACACAGACCACCACTTCTCTCCACAATTATCGAGTTCGAGGGATCAAATTTCTTGCACAAGAGCACAGCAGTCGCATCAAGAAGCATGCAGTCACATCCAAACGTACAGAAATAACAGCGAGCAATGTAGGACAGGAAGCTTACCAACGGAGGTAGCATTCTGAGTATACTCGATGAATCAATCATACCATGATATCAGAAGGGAAAGAAGAGAGTAGAGGAGGGAGAACGCGCCATTGATAATATCCAAGTCGGGCGATCTGGTGGAGGAACCACGAAGAAGAGAGGAGAAGAAGGATAATGTAGAATTTGATGGAGGAATATTTCACCGGAAGATTTGCCAAGAATACTGGAAAAAAAGGGAGACGATAGCTTTAGCGATGGAGAGGTACGAGGGTGACCAAGAAAATCTGCACATGAATTAATAGATAGGAGGCGGCGGAGGTGACGCATATGAAATTCCAACAACAGCCGGCAGTGGTTCTACTTCTTCGGATACGGGTGAGGGTGACGGTGGGTCCACGCACGGAGGAGGTGGTGGCTCGATGCACCGAGGTGGCGGCGGCTCAATACATGGAGGCGGTGACGCAGGAGACTCTATACATGGAGGCGGAGGCGGAGGCGGAGGCGGAGGTGGGGAGTACGATGGAGGCGGAGGTGGGGGTGAGTTGGGTGGCGGAGGCGGCGGTGAACTTGGCGGCGGCGGGGGGGAATTGATCGGAGGTGGTGGAGATGGGTGAGATGGAGGGGGAGAATGGGGTGGGCTTGGTGGCGGAAAATACACAGGTGGTGGAGGGAAGTTCGGTGGAGGTGGCGGTGGAGATTGTTTACAGTAGATTGGCGGTGATGGATATCTTGCGCAGTAGACGGGTGGCGAAGGAGATCGTGGGCAGTAGACTGGCAGCGGCGGTGGCGACCGGACACAGTAAGGTATCGGTGGTGGAGAAGGAGGAGGCGGTGGCGGAGGTGGTGGAGGAAATGGCGGAGGAGGTGACGGTGGTGGCGGAGAAGGTGGTGGAGGAGGTGACGGCGGTGGCGGAGAAGGCGGAGGGGGTGACGGTGGTGGCGGAGAAGGCGGCGGAGGAGGTGACGGCGGTGGCGGAGAAGGTGGAGGAGGTGACGGCGGTGGCGGAGAAGTCGGAGGAGGCGGCGGGGGCAGTGCCGGTACGAAGGGCTTGCAGCCAAAAGTGGAGCAGTCGACGGGATGATGAGGCAGGAAGGACTGACATTGGCGGTCCGAGCGCTGCCTCGGCCTATCGGCGAGGCAATTACGGCGGTCGTCGAACGATTCCACCGCCAAGCACTGGGGCGGCTCGCCGGTGAAGAAGTTGTACGAGTAGGTGAAGTTCTTGAGGCGCGGCAGGGCGCAGATCGAGGCCGGGATCCCTCCGGAGAGAAGATTGTGAGCGACGTCCAGCTGCTCCAGGCTGAGCATTCCGGCGACGGAGCCCGGCAGCGGCCCCACGAGCTTGTTGAAGCTGATATCGAGCACGGTCAGGCTCCGGAGGAGGCCGATTTCCGGGGGGAAGCAGGAGCTGAGGCCATTGTTCATGAGGATGATCTCGTTGAGCGTCCGGGACATGTTGCCGAGGGTGGCAGGCAGGCAGCCGTGGAAGCGGTTGTTAGCGAGGACGACGACGGAGACTGGGGAGTTGCCGAGGTTTTCAGGGATGTCGAAGGCGAAGAGGTTGTGGTTGATGAAAATGGCGTCAAGATCCCGGTCGAAGAGCTCTGGTGGCACCGCGCCCTCGAACTCGTTGAAGCGGAGGTCGAGGTAGCGGAGGGAAGGGAGGCGGAGGACGACGTCAGGGAAGGGGCCGGCGAGGCGATTGTTGCTGACATCGAGCTCGTGGAGGAGGGCGAGGCGGCGGAGGGAGCGGGGGAGGGTGCCGCAGAAGCGATTGGAGTTGATGTGGAGGAGGCCGAGGTCGGCGAGGAGGCCGAGCTGGTGGGGAAGGTAGCCAGCGAGGTCGCCGTGGTTGAGATCGACGCCGGCGACGACGGTGAGGTTGGGGTCGGAAGGGAGGGGGGAGCAAAAGACGCCGGTGTAGTTGCAGACGCCGGGGCCGACCCAGTTGCCGGTGAGGTTCAAGGGATCGGAGATGATGGCGAGCTTCCAGGCCTGGATGGCAATGTAGGCGTCGCGGAGGTGGGGGTTGGGGAAAGCTGAGTCATCGGCGTCATGGCCATCATGGAGGAGCTGCCGCAGCCGCCGGATGTGGCCATGGCTCCCCGAGCAGGACGAGGCGAGAGGGAGGAGGAGGGAGGATAATAGCAGAAGAAAGGAGAACGGACTCGCTCTGCTATGTTTCTTCATCTCATCATCCTCCTATGTTGAAACAAGGCTCGCCTCTGGTTGCACAGAGGGGGAGACTGAGAGAGAGAGAGAGAGGCTGAGGCTGCGGCTGCTGCTGCTGCTGTTGTGTCTGTTACTTATGGAGGAAGAAGGATGCCTCGGGGGATGAAAGGCGGGGCCCGAGTATCGATGAATGAAACGGGAAAGGCTCAGGAGCGAACTAATACAAGGACGCATACCCGAGGTGAACAGCCAAATCACAGCTCAATGCCTTGCTCCTCAAATGGACGGTCTCGATGACCTCTTTCCTCCCCGAGTATCACAGTCGCATCTTCTTCATGCACTTTTTAGTGTAAACAATCTTAAACCGTGGTCTCGAGACCGATACGATTGAGTTCGAGTCTGAATGATTGAGGATCTTCCTGGGACGACCCTTGAGACTGCTGAGGTCTGATCGCGACGGGGTCACCGTTTCCTCTGGGAGGGGACTCCTCGGCTGGGCGTTCTGTGGGAGGCCTCCGTCTTCGCACTTGCACACAGGTCAGGTCGGGAGAGCTCGACCCGACCCCTCCGACAATCAAGTTAGTGGATAATCTTAAAGGGTTTTTCCTTTTCTTCCCTTCTCGAGTCGAACATGAGGATTTTTATAGGGAAGCTTACTGTTTCCTGATGTGCCCGCTTGCAGGGAGCAGGATCGTACTCCTGGTAACGTCTGACAACGGTGTTGGCGTGGCGTGAAGGACCGAGCCTGAGCAGGATGTTAATGTGCCTCGATCGACGTTTCGGTCTGTTTGATCATGTGGTGTCAAGTCAATTGAGACGTCATCTGGGACGGCTAACGTCAACCTGAGTCTTATCGCCATTATTACCCTCATCACACTTGTTCCTCTCTTTCCCCGTCTCTTTCCCCCGGTGTTGATAACCGAAGGGAGGAGGATAAAGTAAGCTGCGAGTGAGCAAGTGAGTAAGATTGGGTTTGAATCCTTTTCCGTTCATCAGGCATCGGGACTACCAAGTAAGTATTTTAGATGATCCAATATGGGATTGGGTATTAAGAAACAGAATGTCGCCGTTGCGACGGCCGTGCACATCGTAGAGCTTTGGGCACCGCTGCGGATCCCATTATTATTATTAGTTTGTATGCTCCACGCAGTTCGTTAATCAGTAACGGGATGGGACGCCCGTGTCGGTTGTGGATCTATTCTCCGTTGTCACCGTCCGCTTCTTCCTTGGAGGGCGGCAGCTCTCCGTGGATGATCCAACGGCTGCGATGGGAGGATTCGACGCCACAAGGGCACGATATACGGTTTGTCCCTTGAAGTGTAAATAGTAACGAGAGATATACAATTGTCGGCTGGCCTAAAGATGATCCTCTTACGTCTTTACTGTGCTTAATTTTCATGATCCATTTCGAAATCGGTGGTTTTAATTTAGTAAAATTTAATATTAGAATCGAACTGCAAGTATTAATTCTAGAATAGAAATCGTTAGTTTTTGTTTTGGTTTCGATACGATTGATTTTAGTTTCCATTCAAATCAATATATTTTTTTATTTTTTTTATTAAAATATAATTATAATATGTAAAACTAAAATTTATTTTTAAAATTAAAAAAAAAAATAGATGTATGAGTGTAAATGTGTCATGACATTAACAAAAAATTTATAAAATTAAATAAATTTATAAATATTTAATCACTTTCGGTACCTAATGTTTCGATCGTCCATTCAGTCCATATGTTGAATAAAATGTCATTATCTTCACAGGTGATTTTTTTATTCTATTTCATCATTTTTAATCGATTATTGATGCAAGGTTATGCTTGATCTAGTTTCATTCGGGATTTATCCTCCCATGTTTAAGACTTGCTCCGCAATCATTACTAAGGATTGAAAATATTATTATATATTACGTTTATCATTTCAGAATAGAAATTTTATACATATAGTACTGTTACCAAACTCAAAAGTACGTTGTTCATCGAGAACTCTAAAAGTAATAATTCATTTTTGTATGATCCAGTCATTATTTATCTAATGATAAATGATTCTCATGTAGGAATGCATTTACTAATGATTACTCTAAATATCAGTACAAATATAAATAGGATTGTCAAAAGCTTAAAAAATTTATATAATTTTTTTTTTATTTTTATAAAGATTATGTAAAGCTCAAGTAAGAGTGGTATGAGAAATTTATTATGTGATGGGATTTAAAGTCTCTTGACAATAATAAAGAAAAGCTAACTTTTTCACCAAAACTAAAAGATAAATGTTCAACCAAAATCAATCTAGCTAATGCTAAAAAAAAGGGAGAAGTAGGATACCCAAAAATTTATATTTGACTTTGCTTTGTATAGACTTGTGTTGGATATTTCTTCTTCATATACTTTCAAAATATTTCATATCTTTCTTCTTCTTCAAATTTGATAATTTGGCTATAGTAATTACATATGACGTGAAAATGTTCCACTTGAGTTTAGTCATTATATTGGTTTCCTTTGGCTCGACATCGATGTTGATGTATTAGCTTTTTTGAGTTGTCACAATCAAATTTTTGAAAGCATCCTTGATGGTGAAGCAGTGGCTTACACTTGTTATAGGATACGAGAGAAAAATTGAGAAGTTTGTGAGGTATTTATAGGATTTTATTTTTTTTCCTAAAATGCCTTCAAAACTAGTTGGTATTTGATTAGTAGAAGGGGAAAACTATAATTTTAGATTTGTTTAATTATAAAATAATCAAAATATCCCTAAATATAGTTATTGGGAGGGGCAAACTAGTCATTTGCTTCTCTATCGGACTGCTTTGATCCCTTTCTGATACGGTTTAGAATCGATAAATCATTTAAATAATTTAATTTTGATTCTTATTCGAAACGAGCTGTAACGTATAATATCCAAACTTAAAAAACAATTGGGTATTCTCCTCCCAAAAGACCATATTTCCGACGGTGATCTTGTTGCTCCTGTACCCATCACCGAGTAGTGCAGGATTGATTGGACTAGCTGCTCCTGGATCTCACATTTCTTTTTATAATAGATTAGACTGGAACATATCGCGAAGTGCATTTGTACACTGCTCGATGCAATTTGATCCGACCCTCAAACTAAATGAACTCCTCGTCGTTCCGTCACACTCATGCCGACACCAGCTTGGGTGGTCCGTCGTCAACTTGGGTTTACGTGCCCCTTCATGCAGCGGGGACTGTGGCCTGCGAACAATAGTCCACCTTGTACTAATATTACATCCATAAACAGCAAGACTCGCCATAAAAAGTGTCAGGGGAGATCGATCCGGTCCCACCATACCATTTTAACTACCGGTTCGCACTTTATAATATCACAGAAAGGATTAGCCACTGTCATTATCGGTGTACTATATGTATGTGTTCTGGCACAGAGCGATGATTAGAAGATATTTACTGAGGTAAGAGGAGTAGGAGAGGGTTGGAAAAGTGGGCAATAATAAAATGGACATAGTAGGATGGGTGGATGCCCAACCAGTCGGAGGAGTTGCGCAGCGGTACAAACGAAAGACCCCGCGCGGGCCGGCGGGGCTTTCGTGTTTGTCGCCGTCGGCACGAGTAGATCGCGTCCGCTTCGGTGGTGTCGGTGCCGTCAAAACAGAGAAACGAAAAGATGAAGCGAGCACTGAAAAAGTAAATTCAAGAACGGTACCATTTGGGCGAGATGATGCAGGCGAACCGCACATATGATCGAGCCACAGTAGTCTCCTGTCTGATATGACGATGTTTTATCGTCGCCGCTCGCTTTTTGCATGCTCGTAATTATGTTATTATTATTATATTAAAAATTATCAAAAATTAAGATCCAATAACAACAACAACAACGATAATAATAATAATAGATCAAATCCATCTTTCTATATCATTCAAAAAAACATATTTAATCTATAATCTCATGTTGTTAGATATGGTCATATAATTTAATATTATTTCAATTGATCCATTAATTAATAAGATATAAAAGAAACTTAAAATCAAAATAAATAAATAATTAAAATTATATTTAAAAATAAATTTACCTAATTAGATTCAAAAAAATTTTGAAAAATATTTTATACGTTGTTATAAGTCTTAAAATAGACCAGTAAGCTTAATAGGTACAATAATAGTATAGTAAGTCCAACTACAAATGCTAGGTATAGCAATCGTATATTATCATATCATACTCTCTTCTATGTACTATAATATTATTAGTTTTTTCTTAATATAATCCATAATGACCCATGTATAATATCAAGATATTATGTTTATCTTATCAAAGTAATCATATTATCACATTCAATTATAATATACATAAATATAAATATAAATATAAATATAAAATAAATAATTTTAATTTAAAAAATATCAATAATAGCATCTATCTAAGAATGCATCATCATATCTTTTATAACTTACTCTCAAGCCCAATTATAAATAAAAATATATTTTTTAGAATGTAAAACCTTAGTAAATTGATTAGTAATCATCATGATGGTGCTTAGGTTCTTAATTGACATTTATTAACCTTAGAGAAAAAAAACTTCTATGGTGTCATCATAAAAAAATCTTCAGTGGCTTGATAATTGAGTCGATCACACTAAGTCCTGAGATAAAATTTTATAACTATAAAGCTTTATTTGTGACCTAAGATCATACTACAAATTCACCTTCTATTATTGATGACATAATAAGCAATTAATTTATACTTTTTCAAAAAAATGGCTCTCCAATTAACATAAATATAAATCATGAAATTAACTTCCTTTGTTGTCCCCTCTCATTGTGTCATACGCGATTGTTCTCACTATACATGATTCCTCACAAGCGAAACACCTATGTTGCCATGCACCATTAACACTCGTCACACTATACAACTATGCACTTGCATCGATCGACGACTCTCACAATCATCATGATGCACGACTTTGCTCATGCATCTACTCGGTTATGACTATTCTTGTCCATCATACAATCACTGAGATTCTAGCCTTCGATGTCCAATTGGTGTCGATTAGGCCAACAAACGTCATTGTAGCAACATTACTATAGTAGTCACATTCGTCGTAAGTAGTAACACTACTGCAGTTG